AAAAAAAAAAAAAAGAAGAAAAGTAAACTCATATACTTATTCATAAAACTAATAATGTGAGAATGGTAGATGATAAGCTACCTACAAAGGTCTGGGGTTTTACTCAAGGTCCTCTGTTAGATTCCTAGCACCACTCAAATAGGTAAATGTATAAACTATACAACTACTTTGAAAATAAAACAATGTACTAAAATTAACTCTAGAAAAAAATATAAAGCCCAATAAAATTATAGTGTTACACACATCAGATCCACCGCAATTATTAATGAAAGAATCGGGCCTTCCACTGGCTTTGGCTCCATATTTATCATGTTGTATATTGAGAGAGTATTCCTTTTGAACTCTCAAAAACATGTTAAAATAAAAATGTCATGGCACATAATGCTGAAAGTTTGAGCGTTGACCATTTTCAATTAGAGTTTAAAACCTACAAACAGACTCACCGAGTCAGGTCAGTTCCAGGCAGGTACTGGGAGAAGCGGGCATTCAGTAGGGGAATGAGCCTGAGGTCACACCACCTCTTCTCCCACCGCAGTCCTGGAGATGTGGGCCACGATGAGCAGGAAAGTGTATCCTGAGAAAAGCAACATGTTCAGAAAGTCTGTTCTTCTCTGTGTATATTTTTTGTTCAAACTCCCTTGTGTTTCAAATTCATATCCCCTTTTTCGTTATTGCTTTGTGTGTATGTGTGTACATTCCTAAATACATAAATGCAATCTGCTCAATTCATATTTCTAGTTCATAATCCAGTTCAGTTTCTAGAATGCATGTTTTTAGGGATAACAGTTTTTTATTGGATAATGAATAGATGTGATTTTTTTCCCCAAAAGACACTTTCTCTTGCTCTTAGCATTCTTTAGTTGCCTGTAGTTCTGTATCTGGGGTGGAGACCTCACAAGCCTCAAACTTCCACATTAGCATTGGTATTTTCCATAATATGTTGAAGAAAAATATATTTGAAAAAAAATATTTTTTTTTATTTGATATCTCATTCGAGATACACTGGAAGTGTTATTCTCTGTCAACATCAGAAGCCAATACTGGTTATATGTTCAGTTAAGTTTGATTAAAGAATTGTTGACTTTGTGGCCTGTCTATAAAATGAGTATTAGAATGCAAAAAGTTTTATTTTGCTATAAACTTGAAACTTTGATTACTCAATAGTGCTAAGATTACCTTCAATTATTAATTTATTTCAGTCGGTTAAGGAGAAATAAGACTATTCAGAAGATACTAAGTCCATAGAGCTGTTTACAATACCAGGGAAGTTAGAGTATCAAGTCACACAGAGGTTCCCATATTAGTGACTTATGAGGTCCCCACATTTAGGACACACATTCTTTTATGAGAACCCGTTCATTGGTTGTTAACTATCAGGTGCCTATAGGGAATGGTATGTTAGGGGTAATCAGTACATGACATGGGGACAGTTCTTTATTTAGTTGATATATGTTATTGTGATATGATCTCATGATGTATACCACAAATTTTCAACATGTGTTAAAGTGTCAGTTAAATAAAATGCAACAATGGATTCAGGGATTACATTCCAAAGAGAACTACACTCCTCCTGGTCAGAATCCAAAATTTAGCAAATACATACTCCATTTCCCTTGATATAGGGTCAAGTTATTTAAAATGTCTCATTGGTCCTCTTTACAAAATAGTAGCAAGAATATTAACAATGGATAAGCATGTAATAAGAAATAATTAGGAAAATGCTTAAAATAAAGCCCAGCACCAAGCTTCATGCTACTATTACTATCTCCAAAATCCTAACTGAAATTATACATTTACTTAAAACAACCAATAGATTACATTGCAATCTATTCTAAAAATTAATAATTATATATAATATATAATTATATATACATATATATATGTGTGTGTGTGTGTGTGTGTGTGTGTGTGTGTGTGTGTGTGTGTGTGTAACCCAAGGTTACATGCGTCTTACAATTGTCATAGATCATCTGACAAAAATCTCAACATCAGACATGAGAAGCCTCAATTTGAATTGTTACTATGGAGGTTCCAAGTGACTTCTAAAATAATGTAGACAGTTGTTTTGCCCTATTTTCCTTCTAGAGGTAAGTTCTACTTGCTGAAGACACTGTTCACCTTTGATATAGGATGCAGAGGACAGGAGCTGTATCTGATCAGAAAACTTCCTCTCTAAGCTTTATATTTTATGGTACCAGAAATTCTATGCAAGTTTTTGAGGAAGGAAAGCAACCAGTAGTTAGTCCTACACAGCTATGACACTGTTTAACCACAATAATGAGCAGCATGGCAAGCTATCCCTAAGGGTACAATTGTTGAACTCATCTTAGTTGTAACCATAAGTTGCCTAATAGAATTTAAGATCCACTTAACAAGAAGGAAATCATGCTTCAACAAGAGGTTGAAATCTAGACAACAGCTTGGGGCTATATGTTTGCCACCTCATTAAATGAGCTTAATTCTTAGCTGCATTCTAAATGTTTCTCCTTATACTCATAGGTAAGTGTAGCTCTCATCCCTTTTCAAAGAATCTTTTTGCAACAAAAATCATTATAGACAACAACTGCCCAAAATACAGACACAAAGTAGTTATGGTGTGTACAGTTCCAGTGAAATAGTCTATAATACAACTCTTCTGCCTCTGGCTCAGAGTCCATCTAGGAAGACAGGGTAAGATTGCAGCAACAAAAGAATGTGGAAGCAAATAGTGTCTTCTAGAAATGATATAGAGCCTTCACTTATGAAACCTTGGCAATATGGCTACCTAGTTAAGACATGAACAATGACAGTAGCAACAGATATGCTAATGTCAGAAAGGAATATCTTAAGGTTCCCAATTATAGAAAAAGAACTAGATATAACTAAGGAATGCTGAAAGTAGGAAACATAATCTTTTTAGTGATGAGTTATTTGGTTGATTTACTAGTATCAAGTGGTCAGATCTGAAATCATATACATAACAAGTAGCCTTAAACATACTCAGGAGGCTGAATGTATAAATTTATGCATCTCTCTCTCTCTCTCTCTCTCTCTCTCTCTCTCTCTCTCTCTCTCTGTGTGTGTGTGTGTGTGCGTGTGTGTGTGTGTGTGTGTGTGTGTGTGTGTGTGTGTGTGTCTCCCTCTGTCTCACACACACACATAGAAAAAGAAGCCATGAAATTGAGAGGGAGAAATGGTTGAAATGGAAAGGATTAGAGTGAGTAAAAGAAAGAGGAAATAATTTGTAATTATATTTTAACTAAAAAATAAACATCAGTAATTAGCAAAACTATTTCTAAGCATGAGGCTTATAGGAATAAAATTTCTATAGCTTCACAATAATATTGTTGTTAATGCTGATTATAGTTATCACCTATACTATTTTCTCTGATTTAGTAAATGCTTTGTAAATCTTTTTTTAAGATAAAGATATGCTCATGTTACTGAGTAAATACAAAAGACTGTTAAGTAGCAACAATGCATCATTTGATCATAAGGAGGACTATGGTGTAGTAGCCATACTTTAAAACATAGTCTGGGCAAATAAACAAATCTTGTCAATTAATTATGTCTGTCTATCTACTGCCCTCCTATCAGATGTCAAGGATGCAATGTTAATGAATGGGGATGATTCTTTATGGTTTATGGTAGTCAATCCCATATCAGAAAAAGGATTCTTTATAGATAGACATTCATAAGATATTCATTTGCCGGGGCTCAGTGGTTAAGAGCACTTGCTGCTCTTCCAGAGGTCCTGAGTTCAATTCCTAGCAACCACATGGTGGCTCACAACCATCTGTAATGAGATCTGACACCTTTTTCTGACTTGCAGGCATGCACCGTATATATAATAAAATAAATCTTAAAAAAAAAGAAATTCATTTGCCAAGTCACCCATTCAATAACAGGCAGAGATCATTGATTTCTTCCAACTAACATTTCTTTGATTGGTAAACACATCTATCACAACATATCTAACACTTATAAGCAGAGGTTAAACATTAAAAAGAATAATTTAGAGAAAAGATAAAACCCAAACCACACAAAGATGCAACAAAGAAAGAGAATTACAGAACAATTTCCCTAATGAACATTGATGCAAAAATACTCAACAAAATACTGGCAAACAGAATTTAACAGAACATCAAAAAATTTATCCATTATGATCAAGTAGGCTTCATCCCAGAGATGCAAGATGGTTCAACATATGAAAATCTGTCAATGTAATCCACTATATAAACAAACTGAAAGAAAAAAACATGATCATCTCATTATATGCTTTAAAATTCTTTTACAATATTCAACAACCTTTCATGATAAAGGTCTCAGAGAAAGCAGGAATACAAGTAATTTACCTGAACATAATAAAGGCAATTTACAGCAAGTCAACAGCTAATATCAAATTAAATAGATAGAAACTCAAAGTGATTCCTCTAAAATGAGGAATAAGGCAAGGCTGTCCCCTATCCCCATATCTATTCAATATTCAAAGTTCTAGCTAGAGCAATGTGACACCAAAAGGAGATCAAAGGGATATAAATTGGAATGGAAGAAGTAAAACTTTCACTATTTGCAGATGATATGATAGTATACATAAGTGACCCCAAAAATTCTACCAGGGATTGCTTACAAGTGATAATCACCTTTAGTCATGTGGCAGGATACAAGATTAAGTCAACAAAATCAGTAGACTTCCTATATACAAATGATAAATAAGCTGAGAAAGAAATTAGAGAAATATCATCCTTTACAATATCCACAAATAATATAAAATAACTTGGAGTAACTCTAACCAAGCAACTAAAAGACTTGTATGACAAGAAATTTTAAGTCCTTGAAGAAAGAAATTGAAGAAGATATCAGACAATGGAAAGATCTCCCATGCTCATCAATGAAATATTATGAAATGAAAATATTATGAAAATGGCAGTCTTACCAAAATCAAATACAGAGTCAACGCAATCCCCATCAAAATTCCACTGCAGGTCTTCACAGACCTTGAAAGAATAACTCTCAACTTCATATAGAAAAACAAAAAACCCAGGATAACTAAAACGATCCTTTACAATAAAGCAAATTTGTAGGTGTCACCATCCCTAACTTCAAGCTCTACTGTAGAACTATAGTAATAAGAACACCTTGGTATTGACATAAAAGCTGATTACGTGGACCAATAGATTTGAATTGAAGACATTAATCTATGCACCAAAAACACCAGATTTTGACAAAGGACCCCAAACTGTACCATCGAAAAAATATAGCTTCTTCAACAAATGGTGCTGACATAACTGGATGTCAATATGTAGAAGATTACAAATAGATTCATATTTTTTACAATGCATATAACTAAAATCCAAATGGATCAAAAACCTCAACATAAATCCAGCTACAATGAACCTGATAGAAGAGAAAGTAGGAAGTAGCCTTGAACACATTGGCAAGGAGACCACTTAAAGAATATAACACCAGCATCACAGACACTGAGAGCAACAATTAATAAATGGGACATTCTGAAACTGAGAAGCTTCTGTAAGGCAAAGAACACAGAAAATATGACAAAATGACATCCTACAGAAAGGGAAAACATCTTTACTA